TATATTTATTATAAATATATAAGTATGTTTTAAATATATTTATATATAATTTTAATAAATATATATTTATGTTATATGGCATGTGCGCACCAACATGTGAAGGGAGGCCAGTTGAAGAATCTGGCTCCGCACTGTCGGCACAAGGACCCAATGCGGGAGGGGCTTGAACTCAAGAACCATGAGATCATGACCTGAGCCAAAACCAAGAGTGAGACCCATAACCAACTGAGCCACCCAGGTGCTCCTAAAGTCTTTATTTTTAAAAAGACAGGAAAATGTAAAAAGACACAGAACTTTCACAAATGACAAGTACTGTCCATGAAATTGCAAATTTAGTAGAGGGGGGTTTAAAAGCAGATTAGTCAGAAAATGAAGAAATAATTGCTGAACTGAAATACAGATCTGAGGAATAATCAGGAATAAGCACAAAGATACAAAGAAATAGAAAGTATAAAGAAAGGGTAAAACAGATATAGAAGGTGAACAGAGAGCATGTCCCCAACTCTGGAGTGAGAATCAGAGAAAATAATGGAAAGAGCTCTGATTCTACTAAGGATGTAAACAGCTGCAGAGAAGACCATCCACACGTAGCATCAAACAAATCTGGATCTATAAAATCATAACATTTCTTGAGTCTATTAGAGACCCAAAGCCACAAGGCAACCAATAAATTTTTCTTCCTCAAAGCAAAGACATGACACAAACTGTTCGCTCCTGGGTCAACTTAGGAGAGGAAAGCAGTCCCTATTCAAGTGGGTAACAAGAAATCAGCTAAAATTTCATAAATTCTTTTTTTGTTGTTAAGTTTTTTCCTGTTTTTTTTTCTTTTCTTTTCTGTTTTGGTTTTTTTTTTTTTTTTTTTTTTTTTTTTTTTTTTTTTTTTTTGATATAGAAAAAGAGAAGGAGAGAGACAGAGAGAGAGAGAGTGCATGTGCATGCAGGGGAAGGGCAGAGAGAGAGAATCCGAAGCAGGCTCTACGCCATTGGCATAGAGCCCCATGTGGAGCTTGAAATCACGAACTGTGAGATTATGACCTGAGCCGAAATCAAGAGTTGGACGCTCAACCAACTGAGACAACCAGGTGCCCCAAATTTTGACAAATTCTTAACAACAAATACGGGACAGAGTGTCATTTTGGAACAGGTTGGAACCCCAGACACAAAGGGACACCACCAGAAAAACCAGGGTCATGTCAGAGAGAGCTCCCTGCCTCTGGCACAGGCACTGCCAGGAACAAAGTGAAGCCAGCATTCTTCTTTGATGGAAACCAAAAACCCTGAAATGCTGAAAAAAGGGCAACAAAGCAATGGAAGAAAAAATCTCTTGCTTCCAAGGGAGGAGCACAAGTCAAACTCATCTAACGTTGGGAGATGGACAGAAAACACTCCTGTTACCAAGACAAAGATCCACTGCTTCAGGAAGAGGGCAAAAACCCCATTCCATGGGAGGGGCAGGAAACCCACTGGGCCCAGGATCCTACACTGACACCAAGCATTCATCTGATAACCCTGCAAGAGGAACATGGAAGTCTCTCCTGGCCAAGACCAACCCCAGATCCATGCGGGCTTTGGCTCTACTGGGCAGGAGGAGCAGGAACACTGGGGAGCCCAACCCCTGAGGTGCAGGTACACAGGACTGCCCAATACTGAGGATGGACCCTGAAAACAGAGAACTCCCGTTGTGCCCACCACAAGCCTGGCACCAAGTAATAAGCATCAACAACTACTACTGGGGAGCGTCAAGCACATGGAGAAAGGTTCCCCTTAGAAAGGCAGAAAGCTGAGTGGATCTGGAACACAGAGAAGAAGCCTCCAGCTCCCAAAACCACATTCTAAGCATAAGGAAAAACAGACCTTGAATTTGGGTTCACAGATGGAAGAATCTGAAACCTATGGTGAGGTGGTGATTTGAAGCCTACTGATGACGGAAACAGTAAAAATCCCAAACCAGATCAACTGCTGACCACTCTGAATTGACGCCACACTACTAGCATGATAAACGTACCCATTTCTGAGCATAAATACTATTTGCTTCAGTCTCTGTTTTTCTACAACGTATCACTAAAAAAAAAAAAAAAAAGATGGCATATAAAAATTCATGAAAAAAGACCCCAGAAGTAGCAGAATCAGGCTCCAAGATGATACAGATGTTGGCACTATGAGACAGGGACATTAAAATAACCATGATTAAAAGTCACAGAGACAGAAATACGAATGGAGGGGAAGATGGGAAGCTACTGTTTAATGCACAAAGAGTTTCAGTTTTAAAACATGAAGAGTGTCATGACATAGATGGTGGTGGGGCGCCTGGGGGTAGGTAGGTTGAGCTTCCGACTCTTGATTTCGGCTCAGGTCACGATCTCGCAGTTTGTGAGTTCGAGTCCCGTGCTGGGCTCTGAGTGGGCTCTGTGCTGACAGCTTGGAGCCTGGAGCCTGCTTTGGATTCTATGTCTTCCTCTCTCTGTCCCTCCCCCACTTGCATTCTGTCTCTTTCTCCCTCTCAAAAGTAAACATCAAAAAAAAAAAAAAAAAGATAGATGGCGGTGCACCTAAGTTAAATACGTCATGTATGTATTTAATACTATAACTGAACCCTTAAAAAGGATTAAGAAGGTAAGTTTTATGGTATATGTATTTTATCACAATAAAAAAAATGAGGGAAAAAAGAGCTAGTACAAAGATATATGAAAGAGTCTTGAATCTTGAAGGTAGTGGTTTCATGAAGCTACAGAGGTGATAAAATTGCATAGAACAAACAAGTGATTGTAAAACCGATAAAATCTGAAAAAGCTCTGTGAATTTTACTAATGTCAATTTTATGGATGTGAAGAGTATACTCTGTAACATGTTATCATTGTCAGAGGCTGAATGAAGGGTATGTAGAATCTCCTTGGATACTGGTTTTGTTTTGTTTTTTACAATTTTCTGTGAATTACAATTATTTCAAAATTAAAACTTTAAAAATATGTGTACAGATGAAATAAGATTAGCAAAATATCAATAATTGTTGATGCCTAATGTGTAGCTGCAGGTTAATTATTCTATTATTTTTACATATATATGAAAACTTCCAAAGTAAAACACTAAAGAGAAAAATAGCCATAATTAATAAATTAAAAGATCTAATGGAAAAAGTTGTACAAATGCATTAACAAATGGGGACTTTCAGTAGACAGAAAAATTAAGGGTCAAATTGAAAATGCCAGAGGCAAAAAAACATGACATTAGAAGTGAAGAATTCCAGGGGCGCCTGGGTGGCGCAGTCAGTTAAGCGTCCGACTTCAGCCAGATCACGATCTCGCGGTCCGTGAGTTCGAGCCCCGCGTCAGGCTCTGGGCTGATGGCTCAGAGCCTGGAGCCTGCTTCCGATTCTGTGTCTCCCTCTCTCTCTGCCCCTCCCCCGTTCATGCTCTGTCTCTCTCTGTCTCAAAAATAAATAAACGTTAAAAAAAAAAATTAAAAAAAAAAAAAAGAAGTGAAGAATTCCTTCAAAGGGCTCACTGGTAGGTGGGACTTCAGCTGAGGAAAGAATCTGTGAACTTGAAGATAGGATAACAGAAATTACCCAAACTAAAATGCAAAGAAAAAACAAAGAGTAAAAGACATAGAAGCACCCAATCCCTGAGGTGATATACCAAATGGCTTAATACATGTGCAATTAGCACTGCAAGAGAAGCACAGAAAACAGAAGATTTGAAAAGATGTGGATGGGAATTTTCACACTAACACACCTTAGAAATAATACTGTCAAACTGGGGAAAAACAAAATTAAGAGAAAGGTTTGAAGGCAGCCCCAGCCCCCAAATTAACCCTTACAGCAGACTTCTTGTCAGGACCCACGTGATCCAGAAGAGACTAAAGAACATCTTCAATGATGTCGGAGAAGAGCGGCCACCCCAGTTGTCAGTGGTCAACAATATATTCCTGGTCTCCCTCCCACACAGTTGTTCCCCGTCCAATCTCTGTCTAGGTAGGACCCTCTCTCCACCACAAGGTCCACTTCTAGTCCCTCCTCCAATCTCCTGAAGTTCAAGGCTTTAACTTCTACCCACTGGCAGAAAACTCTGGGGCTCTATCTCCTGCCTCCAACTCTTCTGAGCTGCCTACTTCCTATTTTTACTGCTGTGCTTCACAGATACTCAACATGTCCAACCTGAAGTCACAACCTCACCTACCATGATTCTCTTTCAACTTTCTCTATCTCAACAAATGGAATCACCATCAAGGACTCCTGATCCCTCCCATTCGGCCAATAATTGTGCTTCCTAAATATTCCCCAAATCCAAACCCATCCAGCACTCTACCTCAGCTACCATTATGCTAGGCCAACCTACAAATGTCTTCGGCATCTTCATAGGCTAATCACTGACAAAGCTGTACCTACTACTATCCGCCGTCAATCCCTTCTCCCTGTGGCATCCACAATAGTTCTTTCTAGGATGTCACACACTCTCCAGGCTCTGCTTTAGTAGCTTTATGCTGGTCTCCGGACGATGATCAAACTCCTCGTACCAAACTCCATGCAGTGTGGACCTTACGTACTTGACAACCTCATCTCAGAACACACTCTCCGGCTCACAACCTGCTCTTGTCAGTTGCTCACAGATGGCATGCTTCCTCTTTGCATAGTGCCTATGTACAACTACTCTGTCTAGGACCTCTTTGTTAGGTTACACCTACACATTATTCAGATGTCAGCTCAATTTTCAGGAAATGATTCCATGTTCTTCTTAAAAGTCAAATTCCTGATGTATGCTTCAACAGGCATTAAGTAACTCTCCTCTGTAGCACTGAGCGCAACCACAATTTTAGATTTATTTCCATAATTAACTTAGGAGTTCACCAATAGGCTATAACCTCCATGAGTATCAAAGATTGTATCTGTTCTTCCTCACATTTTAAAGCCTAGCACATAGTTAAAAAAAAAAAAAAAAGAAAGTAAACTTAAAACTGTAGAGTGAAAACAACCCCTAAAAAAATAAAAATTTGTAATATCTTACCTAGACACAAATTCACTTAATTCTGAATATTCGGTGGGCTCCATTATTATGTTGAGGTCAGTAATAACAGAAGATAAACTCTCCTTATTCTAAAATTTAAAAAAAGTTTATACATCAGATCACAGTAAACATTTAAATAAAATAAAGAGACAAAAATTATTTTAAAAAATACAAAATGAAATACCACCAAGCAATAGGAAAAGGTAATTTTAAAAAGCCACAACAGGAAAAAAAAGCAAATATAATCACACAAAAAACTTGATATTTTTTAAACTTTATTTCTGAGAGAGAGAGAGAGAGAGAGAGAGAGAGAGAAAGCGAGCACATGGATGGGGGAGAGGCAGAGAGAGAGAGAGGGAGAGAATCCTAAGTGGGCTCCACAGGGGGCTCGATCACATGACTGTGAGATCATGACCTGAGCCGAACTCAAAGAGGCGAACTCAGACGCTCAACCAAGCCACCCAGGCGTGCCAGAAACTCAAAATATTTATATTAAAAATGACTTTATAACTAAAAGTGAAAGAATAACCTGGCAAAAAATTTTTACAATAAATATGACAAGGAGAAATGAAAACTGAAAAGAAAAATGTGAAAGACATGAATTAAAAACTGAAATATATTAGACAATTAACATGGAAAAAAGTATTCACTCTCACTAGTAAAAAGACAAATGTAAATTAAACCAATGAGATAATACTTTTACCTACGAAATCATTTTGACAATACATACTTTAAAATACACATATTCTCAGGGCACCTGGGTGGCTCAGTCAGTTGGGTGACTAACTTCAGCTCAGGTCATGATCTCATGGTCTGTGAGTTCAAGCCCTGCATCAGGCTCTATGCTAACAGCTCAGGACCTGGAGCCTGCTTCAGATTCTTTGTCTCCCTCTCTCTCTGCCCATCCCCCACTCACACACTCTCTCTCAAAAATGAATAAATGTTCAAAAAATTTTTTTTCAATACACATATTCTCTATACCAGCAGTATGACTTCAAGAATCTATCCTAAAACAGTAAGAAATGAAGACAAAGACTTATGGCTACCTTATGGCTACCTATTACAAAAACATATTTTGATCTGTAAACTCAGGTTTTCTCCTTTACTCTAGTAAATTTTGCTCTATTATATAGTTGCCTATCATTTGCCTTTCACTTGTTTTTGCAAAAAGCATATATTGACCATTTGTGGTCTTCCAGATTGTTCTTTTCACTTGCTCTTACAGGTGATTTTCCTCAAGAGTGCCATCCATCCATATTTACCTCCTGGTTACTTCAAATATAGTTCTCAGCACTATAATCACTTTCTTTCTCTCAGTTCTCTTTCCTCTGACTCAATTTTCTATAAATGCTTCATTTGATAGAGCAGGTTTTATATAGTGTGTTCTTGTATTTATTTCCTGGACTAATTCTTTCAAAGTGAACTTATCCCCATTTTCTTATTAATTCATCTCATGACAGTATGTTTGCACATGTCCTAAATGAAGATAATAAAACACGGCACCATATTTGTGCTCTATTCTGGGACTACTATGTGTTCACAGGAGTAGATCTAACAATTTCTAATATTTCCTAAGAAAACAGTGAGTGGTTACTTCTTGACACTTCCCCATTTATCTAGGCACTATCTGATGTGTCTCTGTATTTTGAGCTGCTGGAGAAATGGATATTGAGGGCTTATAATCTCTGTTTAGTTTTTTAGCTGCCTGAGGATACAGTGGGAATTGTTAGGAGCAAAGGATCTCAACAGGTATTTCTTCAAAGACATACAAATGGGCAGAAAGCACATGAAATAATGGCCAGCATCATTAGTCATCACCTGGTCATTCCATTTGACCCAACAATTCTATTGTTAGACATACACCTAAGAAAAATGAAAACATATGCCTACTTATAAGCTTACACACGAATGTTTACAGTAACATTAACAGTAGTAAAAAGATGAAAATAGCCCAAATGCCCATCACCTAATAAATGAGTAACTAAATTTGATATATTCATACAATGGAATATATTCAATCAAAAAAAGGAAATGAAGTAATGATACCTGCTATATGCACAAACCTTGAAAATACTATCTTGAGTGAAAGGAGCCAGTCAAAAAGATCACATATTACATGATTCCATTTCAACAAACTGTCCAAAATACACAAACCCATAAAGATAGAAAACAGATTAGCTGTTGTGTAGGTCTGGGCAGAAGAAGAAGGACTGAGGGATGATAAAAAGTAAGGGGTTTCCTTTTGAGGTGACAAAAATGTTCTAAAATTGATGTGGTGATGGTTGTACAACTCTGAATATACTAAAATTTACTGTATATTTTAAATGGATGAATTATTTGATATGTGAATTATTATCTCATTTGACCGGTTTTAAATTTTTTAAAAAACCTCAGAGGCACATCTTGTCTTTTGCTTGAATATGTGTGGGTGTGTGTTGGATTTTGGCTTTTCACCCATTAGGAAAGGCAAATAAACCTTACCTCACTATAAAGCCTATGATTTACAGGCCCCTCCTTATTTATTTATATCAAGATTTATATCAAGAGTTGTATGCTTAACAGACTGAGCCACCCAGGCACCCCAGATGTCTTTTTTAGTGTTTTTGTTTCCTTCAGATAAATACCCAGAAGTGGAATTGCTGGATCATGTGGTAATTCTGTTTTTAATTTTTGAAGGAATTCCATACTCTTTTCTATAATGACTGTACAAATTTACATTTCTACCAATAGTCAATAATACACAAGAGTTCCCCTTCCTAATAGGGGTTAGGTGATATTTCATTGTGGTTTTGATTTCTATTCTCTGATTTTTTTCATATACCTGTTTGGCAATCTGTATGTCTTTTTGAAAAACTGTCCATTCAGATCCTCTGCCCATTTTTAAACCAAATTGTTTGGTTATTTTGCAATTGAGTTATAGCAGGTCTTTATATATACTGGAGATGAACCCCATCAGATATAGGATTTGGAAATATCTTCTCCTATTCCAAGGGTTAACTTTTCATTCTGCTGATGGTTTCCTTTGCTATAGGGAAATTTTTTAGTTTTATGTAGTCACACTTCTTGATTTTTGCTTTTGTTGTTTTTGCTTTTTGGTATCAAACAAAAAAATCAACACTGGGACATGTCAAGGAGTTTACTGCCTATGTTTTCTTCTAGGATACTTATGGTTTCTGGTCTTACATTCAAGCATTTAGTCCATTTCGGGTTAATTTTTTGTGTATGGTGTAAGACAGAGGTTCAGTTTCATTCTTTTACATGTGGCTCTCCACGTTTCTGAACACCATTTAGTGAACACACAGTCCTTTCCCCATTGTATATTCTTGACTATCATAAATTAATTTACCACATATGTGTGGGTTTAGTTCCAGGTTCTCAATTCAGTTCCATTAATCTTTATATGCCAATACCATATTGTTTTAATTACTATAGCTTTTGTAATACAACTTGAAGTCAGGAATCATGATGCCTCCAGGTTTTTTCCTTTCGTAAGAGTCAACTGTCTATTAGGGATCTTCGGCAGTTCCATACACATTTTAGAATTCTATTTTCTATTTCTGTGAAACCTGCCATAGGACTTTTGATAGGGATTGTAGTTGAATCTGTAGATTCCTTTCAGTACTGTGGACATTTAAAAAATATTAACTCTTCTAATCCGTGAGCACAGAATATCTATCCATTTATTTGTGCCTTCAATTTCTCTTGTCAACGTCTTATTGTTTACAATGACCAGGTTTTTGACCTCCTGTAGGTATTTCAATCTTTTTGAGGTAATTAAATAATTTCTCTTACAGTGCATTATTAGTGTACAGAAAAAGAACAGATTTTTGTATATTGATTTTGTATCTTGCAGCTTTACTGAATTCATTTATAAGTTCTAATAACTTCTTGGTGGATTCTTTAGGGTTATCTAGATTTATTTTTAAGTTCATTCTCTCTTGCTTGCTTGCTTGCTTGCTTGCAATAATCTCCACATGGGTCTTGAACTCATGTCCCTGAGATCAAGAGTTGCACAGTCCTCTGACTGAGGCAGCCAGGCACCCCTGTTTAGGGTTTTCTATATAGAATATCATGTCATCTGCAAATAGTGATAGTTTTACTTCTTCCTTTCCAATGTGAATGCCTTTTATTTCTTCTTTTTCCCTAGTTGCTCTGGGTAGGACTTCCAATACTACGCTAAATAAAAGTGGCAAGGGTAAAAACCCTGTTCCTCATCTTAGAGGAAATTCTTTCATCTCTTCACCATTGAGTATAATGTGGGATGGTCATAAATTGCCTTTATTAGGTTGAAGTATGCTCCCTCTATACCTATTTCTTGGGCATTAATATAAAAAAAGGGATGTTGAGGGGCGCCTGGGTGGCTTAGTTGGTTGGGCATCTGACTTCAGTTCAGGTCATGATCTCACAGGTCGTGACTTTGAGCCCCGCATCAGGCTCTGTGCTGACAGCTCAGAGCCTGGAGCTGCTTCGAAATCTGTGACTCCCTCTCTCTCTGACCCTCCCCCACTCATGCTCTGTCTCTCTCTGTCAAAAAAATAAACATTAAAAAAAAAAAAGGGATGAATTTTCTCATATACTTTTCCTGCATCTATTGAGATGATCATATGATTTTTATCCTTCATTTTGTTAATGTGATATATCACAGTAATTGCTGCAAATGTTAAACCACTCCTGCACTCCTGGATTTAATCCCACTTGATCAAGGTGTATAATCCTCTTACTGTATTGTTGAATTTAGTCTGTTAATATTTTGTTGAGGGTTTTTGCATCTATGTTCATTGGCAATATTGGCATGTAATTTTCTTTTCTTGTGGTGTCCTCGTCTGGTTTTGGTATCAGGGTAACACAGGCCTCTAAAGTGAATGTATGGGTCTTCTTTCTTCTTCTATATTTTTGTAAGTATTAGAGAAGGATTGGTATTAAGTCTTCTTTGAATGTTGGGTAGAATTCTCTAGTGAAGCTATTTGGTCCTAGATTTTTGTTTGCTGGAAGGTTTTCAATTATTGATTTAATCTTACTAGTAACCAGTCTCTTCAGATTTCTTCTTGGGTCAGTCTTGGAAGGCTGTATAAGTCTCTAGGAATTGATT